GATTGGTTCAATATGTAAGCACAGCCTCAAAAGTCAATTTAGAAATCTGAGGTAACGGGTCTCACGTGATCAAATTTTTATTCTCTCGAGTTCCAAATGGCAATGAAAAGTGAAATTGTTAAGAATTTTCTCATTTTCAGCTTTTCTAAATTAAATCCTAAAATTTTTGTTTGAGGCTATGTTCTATTCTTTTGAACCAAAGGATACATCGCGAGCCACTGTCGAATACGATCTATTGATGTTTCAAAACGAATGAGAAGGGGACGGAAAAATACAGGTGGCCCATGGGTGGCAAGTAGGTGAATCCGGCCCTGTCTTCCGAAAGCTTAGTTTAATGTAATCCCTCATCTCACTTAATTGCAAATAATGTGGCCAGGAGTGCCCCGCACCGGTTATCCAGTACATACTGAAACTAGAAGAAACAAAAGAAGCCTCAAGGCATGTTCATATTAATTTTCAGGCTCCATTGTCCTCACAGTTTTTGTACTCACTTAGGGATGAAATCCATCCATTTTCAGAACTGGTCCTAATTTTCTAACGCGCACAAATTTTTCTCTTCTTTCGCCCAAATAGAAGAAAGGAGAGTTGAGTGTTAGGCCTTGTCTCCACGAGACGTTTCATGGGATTCGTCCCAAGTTCGGAATGAAAGTCCTGGGCTTTTCCCCCGTCAAGCACAACTACAAAATTTCTTCTTCTTCTATCTGAGTCGCTCATAAGACTTCATAAGGACTCTACTTGATACTGTGATTAGTATTTACTAACTCAATATTTTTCTCAACTTTGCAAGTGAGATTTTTTCCCGGGACAAATCTCACAAACCACCGCATGGAGATAATGCCTAAATAAAATGACACAAAAAAGGAGGAGGCAAGACCAAAAAGGTGCATAAATATCGGTTGAGATCGGTTCATCAGAGCCAACAGGAGCATTTTTTGTACACTGGAAAAAAAAACACATTGGATCCAGAGCCCAGACTCTTAAAAACATCGACAAGAAAAAATACTCTTGATTCCAGATTTAAGCATAAATCAAAAACCCAGCCTCTTAATTTGAGCGGATTTCCTTTTAATTTAAGCTTAAATCTGATTGAATCAAGAGTATTTTTTCTTGTCAATGTTTTCAAGAGTCTGGACTCTAGATCCGATGTGTTTTTTCCCCCAGTGTAGCTCGTATCACAGCGGAATCTCCTCGCGTACTCACCACACCACTCCCCGTGGGATACCCGGGTGTGCTATGGTCCGCGGCTGAAATTGGCAACGCGAGGCGGGAAGCGGGAACAAGTTCGAGGCTGGTGCTGCTACTGGTCGGCTGAAAATGGACTGTAACGATCATAAATCAGCGGAGCATGTTGACTCCCAAGTTAGCCGGAGCCACGGCCGTATCATTGGCCGCAAATCAAAAATTATTCTCACTCTCAAGTCTCCGGCGCTGAAAATGGTAGCTTTCAACTTTCTTCCATACTCCAGCGACCTCGAGCGGCCGCTCCGAGTAAACATTGAATTAATGTTTTGTTTCTTTGCGGCTCGAAAAATGCCGAGCCTCCCAAGCAGGAGTGCGCCGCGCCGTGGTGGCTCCTCCACATTTTTCTTGGCGTTTCGTTCCGGGAGGTCAGCCGTCGCCACCACCGCACCGCGACGGCGGGCGGCCGCGGCGACGCTCTGCCCGGTCCGGTTCTCGTTTTTCATTCGATCGTGCTGTACTGCCTCATTGTCCAGAGTCTTGTTAGAGTGCGGGGAAAGATATGGAGAGCATGTTTAGATGAGTCCACTCTTTGTTCGCAGTGTGGTCTCCTGCGAGATTTCGCTGGAACAGGAAGAAGGGTTAGAGCATGTGGGAGCAAGTTCCTCTGACGCAGTTAAAAATTCCCTTTTTCATGGTTACTGTCGGTTACTCAGAGGAACTTTTTTTCAATCTTCTTGTTGATCAAGCAAAAGGACTCGTGATTAAAAAATAAAATTTTCCGGTACTTACTTGCGGAGCCGGCAGCGAACACAAAAGGACTTGGTTGATCGACCTTTATGGTCAAACGACCGAAATTGTGGATCACTCAAAAATCTGGGGGAAGTTTTAATCAGAAAGTTATTTATTTTTGATATTGTGCACGATATCAAAACCAGGCAGCTGGTTTGGTATGGACATGTGCGGAGAATGGCAGATAGTAGGTTGCCCAGAAAGGTATTTGATTGGGTTCCTCCCGGAAGAAGGCGGCGTGGACGTCCAGTAAAAGGATGGCGGGAGGGAGTGGAGGGGGAGATGAGACGGTGTAATCTGCCCGATGATTTGTGGGAGGATCGATTCCGATGGCGATTTGGAGTCGCAGAGCGCTCTAGTGCGCTGAGGTAGCGGCTTGATATGTATGTATGTATTTATTTTTCTCAGTTTTAGTTCATTTTTCGAAAATTTGCAAAATATTGTAATGTAAATCTTCCCCTAGACCCCAATATTTAACTTTTGCCTATTTCATTCTATTCGTTTTGATGCGGCTTAAAAAGCACCATTCCTTAATGGTGCCATTACCTCAGTCTTTTTCATCCTTTACACATCAACTTTTTTTTGTGAGAAATGGCTCAAAAGCCGCAATGAGCGCATCGGAAAGATTTGATCTTTACTCCTTACTTCATGATCCATACGAAAGGACTTTGGGCATTTCTGAGCTTACCTTGATAAAGAAAAAATATAAAACTGTAAAGGCATAATTTGACAAAGGTGAGCCACATTCCGTCTCACAACTCCATGCAAAACTAAAAATGGCTACCGTCATTTGATGCAACCCTTCAGTTAAAAACAATCATCAAGAATATTCCTACTCATTATAGACTTATTCGGAGAGCAGGGAAGAGAATTTCTTCGGATAAATGGACGCATTTCTACCAAACAGACCTATGTGGCGATGAGAAATGTGGGGTGTGCTCTAGAAATCTGGATAAGAAGCAATGTAAAAGTGGGCGTGGTTCCTTTTGAAGAATTGGCAAAGCGGGATATTGCATTCTATCAAACAGACCTATGTGCAGCTGAGTGCGGAACTCATGAGCCGCGGGCAGGGCGAGAGAGCGTTGTGAACAGGGCTCATGAGTTAAAGAGCCCCGACGACGACGTCGACGTCTCACCCCCGCTTTTTCATTGCCGCTGACGTCACTGGCGCACAATTATTCTCATTCACTCTTACGGCCAGAGACTAACGAGCACACCCCATATTTCTCACTTCCGCATAGGTCTGTTTGGTAGAACTACGTCCAAATGACGTTTGTTCACAACTGAAAAACCGAGACACGTCACGGCGCCTATTCTTACTGCTGACTTGATCAAACCGCATTTTTTAGGAGTCCAGAGATTATAAAATAACTGAGCATACTTTCATCTGTAAGTTCACTTTTGTTAAAATTTTAATCGTAATGTATTTTTTCTTTCTCCGTAATCGATTCAACTGCTCTTCTTTTTCGCATCATGCATTGGGTAACTAGAATTTGTATTTTTTTTATTCCTATTTTTCAGCACTTGAATTTGATTTAGTTGTGAGGATTTTAGTTGTACGTATATGACGGTAACCTGAAATGTACCTCGAATTCCACATTTTTCATGGATTGTATTATCCAGAGTAATTATGGACAAAATCAGTTGCGTGTCAGAATCCTATAATCATGGCCTGACCATTAGTGCGTGTATGACTGGCGAAAATTGCCTTCAATTCAATAGCTATGCAACAAACACGTCGTAGCAACAAATCCACGCCCTGCGTTAGTTTGCAGCCAGAGGTATATGAAAACTATTAGTACAATTTGCAAATGGGAAATCAGTATATCTTACTTCCCCACAAAAGTACCTACCTGATCGAGAAACTCTATTGGGCAATCCGTTGTTTGTGAAATGAGCCAGAAATGGTAGTTCCTTATTGCAAAATATAGTCCGTGTATAGCTTCATCGTTTATGCACGAAGGAGCGAGACTTCATCTTATAACAATTTAATGTTTAACAACTATATCGATGATAAAAGTGCAAAACCACCTACTTCCATTGCGATGTCTCAAAACTGATCCTTTTTTTATTATTTGGAACAGAAACAAGCCATTTCATGGCTTGAAAATACAAAATATTCTACTAATAGAGGGAAAAAAATCAAGGAAGTTTCCAGGAAATTATACGTTGACTAGTTTTTCTAAAAGAAAATTAGAGTAAGAAAGGGAGATATCAACCGCACAAACGGAGATACGCGGTTTCGCACTTTGGCGACCGATGTGACTGTCATAAATGGATTGCATTTCGCAAGGAAGAGCTCATATTTCTGGCTCATTCTTATAGGCACGAATACCTAAATAGGGATTCCAATGGCACATTAATCCTAGGGCATGTTTCTCGATTTGCGACGTTGCATACATCCTATCATTCTTTGTTTTCCAAATGGAAAAGAACTGAATAATAATTTCTTAAAACTTCCGTGACTTTTTCTCTCCAAGCGAGTGAAATTCTGTCAAAACGTCGTGGAATGATGTTGATTTGTTCTCCCTAAAAAAATTAATTAAGAGCGGATATTTTAAAACACCGGAAACGAGATACGTGATTTGGGATTTTCACTGTCAATAAGTTATTTTTAAAACAAGCAAAAAAAAGTTTTTAGTTGCATAATAAGGTTCAAACTGTCCAAAACTAGGTTAATATTGGCGATTTATCCGAAGAAAAATCAGTATTTTCAGTCAGAAATGCACAACAGTCTCTAAACTGGAAAAAAATGTGACAGATTTTAACATTATCTGACAAAGTGAACCGAGTGGGGTGATGATCACCGGACTTTATGGTAGCATTTACCATGTTATGGTAAGTGCCACCTGAGTTTTGGTAAATCTGACTATAATTCTGGTTATTTTCACTAAATAATATCACTGTGTAAAAGTTCAAGTAGATGTAATGTGTATAGTAGATGTTATCAAACTTTTTTTTCAGTGTTCGTCCTGAAAAAATGTCAAAAATGTTTTTATCAACAATGTCACATATTTTTGATTTTTCAGACGTTTTACTTCCTATTCTCCCTGGCCCTATCTATTGCTCTGGGAGGAGGCTCGCCTTACGACCCAGACGACCCGCTCATCGAGTCGGTGCTCCCGCCGAAAGACGTAGCGTTCGAGGCGTTCTACCCCAAGTCCGCTTACGGAGTCCCGAACGGGGCTGCTCGCCCACCCCACGGCCACGGAAGCTTCTACAAACACCGGCATCCAGCCCTCGTCGACACCAAGAATGCCCCTGCCTTTGGATTTAGGTTCGACGGCCGACGCAGGTTTAATTACGACTGAAAATCTTGTTGAAACTCTCCTGTATTAAAACTTTATATCCCTCTGATTCAAGGGAGTTCTAATTTGTCCCTTCCTTTATGCACTGGAAAAAACGCATTGGATCTAGAGTCCAGACTCTTAAAAACATCGACAAGAAAGAGCACTCTTGATTCAATCAGAATCTAGCTTAAAGCAAGAGCCAAGCCTCTTAATTTAAGCGGATTTCGTTTTGATTCAAGCAAAAATCCGATTGCATCAAGAGTATTTTTTCTTGTCAATGTTTTCAAGAGTCTGGACTCTAGATCCAATGTGTTTTTTTCCAGTGTGCTGCCGTGCTTAGGAAAAATGCCGCACGAACCTTCAGGCGTTGCCAAAGTTCGATTGATAAAACACGACTTTCCTGGTAAACTTAGGAATATTTTTCTTCCAATTTTTCGGATAATATTGTTCCCAATTTCACCTGACGTTCCCGAAAATTTCAAGGAAAAATATGTACAGCCTCTTCAAAAATAAGCATTTTATCGAAGGAAATTTGACAACTCTTGAATGTTTATACGGCGTTCTCAGCACGGCAGTATGTCCCCCTAAGATTTTTCGTAGAGCATTCGGTACCAAAAGCAAAAGGATTTTAGCCGAAAGGAATTAAGTTTGCTGAAAAATGAGGGGTCTCCTTGTTGCGTGAATTTCTTTTTTTATTTAGGATAATTTTTTTTCTTTATTAGTGAGATAGGTAACTACAGAGTATTAATCCTAGTTTAGGAGAATAGAAAGTTTTCGTTCGAAATTTTAATTGTAATCCTTGTCTAAATCAGGAGATAGAGACAGAGAAAAAGAAGATAAAAGGAGCGAGAAGAAGAATAAGAGAAATAAGAAGAGGAACAAGAGAAAAAATGTAACTTTTTCGGCTTTTTCTTCTTCTTTTTCCTCTTTTTTTACATTCCACCGCATCTGATTTTCCTTCCTCTCCTGTTTTCTAGTGCGTCATCATCAGATATATGTCAGGAGTCTTAAAATCTAGGTCTGTCGCATGAACTCGGATTAATAAACTGCAAGATCGCCTTTTATGATTACGAAGAAAGTAAAATTAACTGCAAAGATAATTCTTCATTTTTTTAAACAGTTTTTTTTAACAACTTTATCCACCTCCCTGAAATGAAAAACGAACCAAATTAGCTCAGAGATAGGAACCAAACCGGCGAGAAGAACCGACAGCATGATAATACTCATCGAACAAGTTCAAGCTACTAACGAGCAGACCTCTTGTTTGGCAAAAAAACTCGGTTCCCTCATTGGCTTGGTCCTAAATGAGTTGGTCACGTATGCCATAGAATGGGACACTAGATGCGGTATTTTCCATCAAAATTTTACGCAGAAATCGTGAAAAACATTGGTAAAGTATTTAAAATCAGATGATGACTAAAAAATACGTGTTTAAAGTTTGCATACGAATCCTAGTCAATTCAAAGTTTCCGCTCACGAAAAAACCTAAATGATACTATTCGAGGTAGATTCGATTCTAAATAATCTTCTTTAAGATTCAATCTTTGGAATGAAAATAAGTAGTTAAATTAAAGCATATGGGTTTATGGTTCATCAACTCCACAAGGATTTAAACTTGAGTATTGGAACGGCGAGTTCAAAAAGGACCGTATAGCGCCGACATACGCCCTTTGAAACTTTATTGACACTGCATTAAAGTGATAACATCCTCTATCTTGAGGCTCACGAGCACACCATAAAATCACATTTAAATTCAATTTAAAACACTCGAAGAGTTTGTTTACATATATTCATAATATATAAAACACCAAAGAAGAATTCCTTTCATTCTCTAGGATCACAGCTCTATTTAAACCCTCGTATTCAGTGGCGTGGCGTGAATTGCGATATATCGATTGTTATGTCATTTAAACATATATGGAAAAGAATCGATTATTAAGGTGATCGCTGCGAACATCCTGTTTATCGATCCTTTTCCATACGTTTAAATGGCATAACAATCGATACATCGCAATTCACGCCACGCCACTGCTCGTATTATCTTAAATTAACCCGGCTGGCGACCCCGCCATGAGTGGGTGATCTCTCTTACATAATATTATTCAACATTCCAGATACCACTAGCTTTTACTCCTCTTCCACAATGAAGAAAAAAGAAGGGGAAAAAATCAACAACAATCCCCGTTAACCCCATCAGTCGTTTTTCAAACCCTCTATTTTTCTTCATTTCTTTCGTGCACTGACCCACGTAGGAAAGTTGAATCTTCTTGGGTTTACCTGAAAGACGAGTTTTTATAGGAAACATGTACCGAGTTCTATTTTAATTGCTTCCCTCTCAGTTACAATTTTACAACACATAAAGTACGTCCCGAAGTTTATGGACGCTTCTGAAATCGACTGATTGAGATCTACAGGATATTACTTCCCCATTTGTCTTGAAATGTGGGTTGAAAGTTCATTGGACCATTACGGTGAGGCGCTCCTAGCCGGTGGAACTGGAATATTTTAAATAATCACACGATGAAAAAGATCAATTGCACATTTTAGAGGTTGGATATACGCTGCATCAGAAATCATGTTTTTTTTCTCGCACTGGTATCCTTCTTCAGGACGGATAATATTATCTAATTTTTTTCTTACATTCGCTCTTTTCGTACATTACCATAAAGGAAATATTGCAAGTTTCATCAATGAAGACTTGCAACATAACACCTATGACCTAAAAAAAAAACAAAAAAACAAAAAGAGTAATGGTGAAAATTTCTTCGTGCTGTAAAATTTCAAATCAAGGAAAGTTATTACGAAGAAACATGTATTACTTTCAAATATTCCAAGCCTACAAAAAGCGTGATGATTAAAAACTAACCATCGATGTAGAAGAAGATGATGGTGGCATGAATTTGAAAAAAGTTAGGAGCAAGTTCATCCATTTCCGTGAGGATTTCCTGTTAGTCTCATTTGTGAATTGGCTCTAATTTTTGGAATTTTTTGGTTTTGCTTCCCCGCAAAATAGCGTGGACCCAGACCTTTTTTATGACCTCTTTACACACATCTCGGGCCACATTATCAGTATTTTTTTCTTGTTTGTGAATTACGTAAGTAAAAATTTTAGATCTCGCATGCTTTTGTAAAATTAAGGATATCTATCTAGTATTTTTCCTTCGAACTAACAAGAAAATAATAGCATCAACTGTGTGTGATTTTGGGAATTTAGACCGTCGAACACAAAAAAGGTCTAAATATATAAAACAAATCAAACACTGGAAAAAAACACACTGAATCTAGAGTCCAGACTCTTGACAACATTGACAAGAAAAAATACTCTTGATTCAATCGGATTTTTGCTTGAATCAAAACGAAATCCACTTAAATTAAGAGGTTTGGTTCTTGATTTAAGCTAGATTCTGATTGGATCAAGAGTACTTTTTCTTGTTGATGTTTTTTTAAGAGTCTGGACTCTAGATCCAATGTGTTTTTTTTCCAGTGAAGTGGCAACACTAGTTGACGGGAGTCACAGAGAGGTCGGAGGGGGTGCATCAAAGTTGTAGCGCTTTATCAATCAAACGAGAAAAACTGGACCGTTTCCGTCCGAGTTTTTAGTGGCTTCAATAAACATTCACGTCCGATTGCGTTTCAAAAATTCGGGGTGGGCAAGCGCGGAGATGCGCGAGGGAGGGTAGATACGGGGGAGGAGGGGGGGATGCTGGGGCGCCCTCAGGGTTGGATGAAGTTCTCACGAGATCAGAGCTGTCTACGAGCCCCAGGTTCACTGCCCCCGCGCCGGCCGTGGCGACCCGGTGGATGGATCCCCTCTCTTGTTTTACTTCAATTTCTACTTTTAATGCACTGTTCACTCGGGGGGTGAGACGCCGCGCGCCGCTGTTTGACCTGTAATTTACCGCAATCAAACGGTGTGTCAGCGGCCGGCACCGTGATATTAGTCGGGACGTGCTTGTTAGCCTATTGAGACGTCACCGAGTTCCTTTTTGTTTTGAGAGCGGTCAGCTCGAGTATTTATATCATAGGTTGGATATTGTTCTTACTGAAATATCATCGTTTGATATAAGAAGTCGCAAGAGAGCACTGAACTAGTCACTATTTTTTTTCGAAATAACTGAAGAGATAAACGACGGAGGTCAAACAGCGGGTAACAGGGCTAGAAAATACAAATGAAACCAAGAAGTTTCGGCTGGAAACTTCACAGCCCTTCTTAGTTTGATATGATCAATAAAAATTTGAAAACTTAGCACTCGGGTATACTTTTCCAAAACGAGAAGAATGTCGTTAACATTCGAAAGGTACAACCGAATACTAATTTTTTATTGTTTTTTATCCAACTCAAGAAAGTTGGTGTTTCCAGCTGAAACGTCTTGGTTTCATCTGCGTTTTCTAGCTTTGTCACCCGCTGTTGTGAAAACTCACATACAAAATGGCAGTTTCACCAAATTGCCTCAACCTGCTAGGCAAATAAAGGGACTGCATTTAAAGAAAAACCCGGGACAAATATTTGAAAAAGAAGAAAAAAAACTAACAAAAGACAACAGCCAGCAATAAATATTTATTTCTATTAAAAACCCCGCCAACCGCTCATTGGTTAGCGATCCTTATTTCCTAAAATAGATTGAACAAATATTAATAGGACGAATTTAATCAGGAATCAGCCTAATTGCATCAGACGTTGCCCGATTTCTCCTGGTATTTATATTTTTCTGAGTGAAAACCAAGCAAACAATTTTTTGCATTGAAATTATAAGAGAACATTCTTTCGAATCTGAAAGAATTCGACAGGAAAGTTTCACGACATTACGTTGCTTAATTTTTGAAGAGAAAATATTAAAAACAAGAGGCAATTGAACATAGTTATGCTAAAATAGGAACTATGTGCATAGGGATTGCATGCGACATAGTTCCTTTTAGCATAATTACGTCCAATTAAGCAACGCTAACTGTAATTAGGCTGGTCTCAGTTAAATCCCGTTCAAATTTCGTAACGGAAAATGTTTTAAAAGTGGATATCCGAAAAAGCTCAGATAATTTTTCTATTAGGTATGGAAGTTGCTGAACTGG